GGGGGGGGGTGGGGGTAAGTCCAATTCTATATTGTGCCTCTGAGAGAGCTCTATAGTGTTCCTTACTCCTAAGCTACAAAGAGTGAAGTAACCATGGTTTGGTTTTTTGTGGGTTTTGTTGTTTTTTCAAATAGAATTTGGAATGCTTGTTTTAAATAGCTTTTTGTCTTGCACACGATCACTAGAATGAGACCGGGTGGTTGTATGTTTCACAAAACAGTCAGGGTAGCTTAGCTTTGCTTCTTAGCATTAGCCTGTTCCTTTAGGTGAGGGTGAACCTCACTGAAAGGTTTGTTGGTTGTTGTTTTGTTTTTTTTTTTTAAAAAGTCCTCTGTTGCTTATGTGGTGCCTGGATATTCTTTTCCTTCCAAATGTTAGATTTGTGAAAGTAGAATTTTGAGAAGTTTACAAGATAGCTGGATATCTGAAAACAACCTTTTTTGTTTTACTGAATTGTGCTCTCCAAACAAACACTCTTCCATAGAGATAGCCATGACTTACAGTAACAACTTGAGATTTGTTGTGGATGTTGTTACCTACTCACTAACCAGAAGTATCAGTGTGTGAAATTAGACTACCTATTTTCTTATAAATAGCTCCCTGTGTTGGGAGACAGTGTGTTTCAGTATCTTAAACTATTGGTAGCCCTTTTTTCAAAGTTGAAGAAACTTTAAGGTGTTTAACAAATTGAAAACCTTAAGACTCGCTTCTTGGTGTTTCTGTAACATTCTTTTCCACTCAAATTGAGCTAATGCTCTTAGCATCTCCACTCACTAGTAGTCTTTCCCTTTTACTCTTTGTATTCAAATAAAGTAGAAAATTTTTGCCAAGGAAGCTGGGAAGGAAATCTAGACACAGAGGCACTCATTTATATTGAAATGAAATTGAGACTTAGAAAAATTAAAAAATAATAAAAACTGGTATTGGATAAGGAACAGTTGGAGCAGTTAGAGACCTGCCAACTGCAAACCTGGAATTACAAAGGCTTGGCATTAAATGTAATAAATGTTTGGGGGTTGTGATGGTTATTGGAAAACTACCTTCTCTCTGAAGTTTTTACTTATAAATTAGGTTTGTTGGGTTTTTTGGGTTTTGGTTTTGGGTTTTTTGCCCCCCAAAAAGCTTTAGTTTAGTTTCACTTTGTGTTGTTTTTGAGCTTTAAGGAGCTTATTGCTTTAGTTTTCTGGGGTTTACTAAACTCTGTGTGTGTATTTTATTTTGTTTATGGCCAATCTGTTATCCTAGACAGTTAAATGTGTTTTGACTTGTCTTATGAATTTGTTTAAAGTATGTTTTGCCTCTTACTTATAAACTAAATGATTAACTTACCACAGCTTAACAATTCAACATACACATGGACATTACCTGTTCTGAGATGTGTTCCTAGTGCACAAAAATGCTGAGGTAATGCA